CGAATAAACGTAATTGTTTAAATATTGTGTTAGTTTCAATTCACCACGGAGAAACGTTACAATATATATATATAGCTGTGTGAGAGGTCTAAATACGTATATATCAGCTTATATATACGTATTCAGACCGTAGCAACGACTAAACCACCAGGAACTTTGCTGGTGCGGGGTCCTTGTTGGACCCCCTACGCCGTTGTCAAATCGGAGTGCACAAACGCATCTGGTATTCTATTCTGCGATTTTTTCAACTCTACCTGTGGAAGTTATCAGCTGTTGGCGATTTCATCCAATAAAAAACTTAAACGTCACCATAGTGATGTCATTATGGTGACGTTCAAGCTTCCGATTGGATGAAACTGTCAACAGGTGATATCTGCCAGCGGAAGAGTTGGAAAAATCTCAGTATAGCTGCAGCTCCAAAAGTTTCATTGATTAGCCACCTTGCGCGGTACGTATGGAATTGGCGAAAGCAGTTCAAAGTTTTTTCACCAGGGTGCTTGTACAGCATGTTGTTAAACATCTTAATTAGTAAAACTTTTACTTTAAGCTTCTAGACAATGTCAAGTTAAAATTTTCGAGAATTATATAGCTCGCAGTTTCAACTGCGAACAATATGTATTGTGAGATGTTTTGTAAAATCATATTTTAAAACAAAATAATATTAAAAATTAGTACATTTGTAACGCTGTTGTACAACCCAGAGATTGTAGGTATGTGACTAATAGTGTGTTATCCACGCTCGTTTTCTTGAGTCCTCATTTCGCTAGATACGAAGGGAGTGGGGGGTTTGATTATTTTATAGAGAGGACCATTATATTAAATATGTAGCTCGTTTTCGATACAATTATTTTCTATTAGGCAGGAGTAAATACTTCTGGTTATCAGAGTTTGTTAACAAAACTGGTTGCTATAATTTATTCTGAATTCAACTAATATTAGTAAAGGAGTGGGGTAGTAATGCTAGGGCTCAAGAAAACGTGCGCGTGCTGCGTGATTAGGTGTTGTGAATCATGACAGTGTTGTGAATGTGATAAAACGGAAGAATATAATCACGTTCTATTAAGGCTGAAATGCAATTTGCGGTATGATTGGCGCGCGGAACCAGACAAAAAATTGACAGAACGAATCAAATGAAAGCGAACATTCGTGTAAAATGCGTTGGACAGACTCTAAAATTGAGGCAAAGTATAGATGTACAGGGAAAGCGACGTGCAGGGTTTTCTGGAAGTACAATGCAGTAACGTATTATTTTGTGCAGTTGCAGTAGTGATTCATGCGGAGATTTTTGTGCTGGATCGTGACGAAACTCCAAGAAATTTGCCCATAACTATACAACGGCGTCTGAGCCGCAAGTCGCAGTAAATAGTGAATGCAGTGTTTTATTGACAAACTATTTGCTATACTGAGATTTCTCCAACGATGCTCCTGGCAGGTATCAGCTTTTGACAGTTTCATCCAATGGAGAGCTTGAACGCCACCATAGTGACGCTTAAGCTCCCGAGTGGATAAAACCGTCAACAGCTGATACCTGGCAGGAGTAGACTTTCCAAAGAGTCGCGGTTTACTCTCCAAAGTTTTCTTTCTGCATCCCCTACTCGGGTAGGTGTGTCAGCAATCTTCTTTCAGAAGATGTCATTGATGTCCCCTAATATGTTGACAGGAATTAATGTTAAATATTCGCTTTTGTGACTCAATACAAGTGCATCAAGTACTGTAGGGAATAAAAAAATAAAGTATTCCATTTTTAGGGTGATTTCTTAAGGCCCCAGCACACGTTGCCGGGGGCTGACCCGCAGGTCAATCCGACATATTGTATCGTGTGGTGGCAAGTTATCCAACAGATTGTCGGGCGGTTGGTTGGTCCTGACCACACGACCGCCGATCCTCCCACCATACTCTCAGACAAACTTTCAGTGATTCCAGAACTCAAAACTCTGGTTCAAATGGGAAAGAGTTATTTAATTGGAAAGTTCTTTGGTACTC